GGGAGTGATCAGTTCGAGTTCAAATCCAGCATTGGATGAGCCCTAGATTCCTGCTCGCGCCAGCCGCACGTCAGAAGGTTTAAGGCAGTTGGTATATTACTCAGTTCATGTCAATATTGTATCACCGACAAGTTATCTAGTTTTTTGCACACAAATTCAAACTAAATTTTATAAATCAGCTATCGTAAGCAAGTTATCGGCATCCAAAATACGTTGTAATTGTTTAAATAGACTTGTTAAAACGTTAAAACGTAAGACAGTTTTCTGGTTGGTCATTCAAAGAAGTATTCAAAGTGAACCTATTTCCCTAAGGAAAAACCTTGTCCTTAAGGGAAAAAAACCAGCAAACTATGAGTGGTGCGCGAAACAAAGGCATCAGGACGAGGTGTAAGGACAAAAACACCTTCATCTTCGCTCAGAATGTACTTCGCCAGAAATTGATGTAAGTAGGATGAAAAACATATACTGAAAAAAAAGAGGTAGAAGGAGACCATCACAAAACACTCATTATTATGCAGCAGAGAAATATAAAAAAAAACAAACTTATTTACACACTGTGGAAAGTATAGATTCAGATATGGCTTAGAAGTCTGGACTATGTGGAAATTAAAAACCGAATTGAAAAAAATATTGAGAGAATTGAAGAATTAATTAAGATAGAAACAATATTAACAAAAACTATGGAAAAAAACAATTTTCCTTGTATGACCACAATAGGATAATGAACAATTAGTGATTAGAACATGAAAATGGGTCCCAAAAGAAGGGAGACTTCGTCGGTAAAAGGATATAATATGGCCGTGAGTAGAAAGTATAATGAAGAAGTAAAAAAAAATGGTGTTGGAATTGCGGCAAACGTAGTATACGGATGTTCTATATATTTCAAAAATATACCCTGCAAAAACTTCTCAAGATCTTATCCTACATTGTGAAACCTACAATTTAATTACTTTTGTGTGTTTGTGTGCTTTTATTTCATTTCCACATAAGGCTTGTTTTGACTGATATCTTTTAAAATTCTGCGTATGTTTCTATTTTTTGCGACTCAATAAAAATTATTCTAATCCTTTGTTATCAAAATATATTTCTTGGTAACTTCGCAGCAGATGCAAAATGTGTTGACTGATAACATGTTAGTTATAGTAAATTTTATTTTTCATGGTGTAATAAAAACTTTGTTGTTTAGATGTTATTAGATATAAGCGCAAACTAACAACCAATCGAATAAAACATTTTGAAACTTTATTTAATATGGAGAATTATAAATTATTTATTGGTTAAGTCTTTTAAATAAATATAAGCTATTTTTCGGATTTCAAATAAGTATACCATACTTAAATAATAATAAATATTTAATTATTTTATTAATGATTTTGATATCACAGTTTAAATGATGCAAAATGTAAAACAAAAAGATTGATAAAGAAAACAATAAAACAAAAAAACAAAATGATTGCTAATATTTTGTAGTTCCTCCTTCACTAAAAACCATAATCCAGAAACAGAATAACAAAAGATTAGATATGGATCAACTTAGAAATCCTGAGATAAAAGCCAAGCTTACAAATAGCATTAATAGTAATGTTGCTTTAACAACCAACACTGATGATATTGAAAGAGACTGGATCAACTTAAGGGACGCTATATGCAACGGTGCAAAAGAAGTAATTGGTGACTCCGAGCGGAAGAAGAAGAACGAGTGGATGACAGATGAAATATTACACCTTATGGACAGAAGGAGGGAAAATAAGAATAATCCCGAACAATATAAAGAACTGGATAGAACTGTCAGCAGAAAGATAAAAGAATCCAAAGAGAAATGGTTGCAAGAAAAATGTCAAGAGATAGAAGAGCTAGAACGAAGACACGATAGTTTTAACATGCATAAAAAAATCAAGGAGTTTACTTATACTTACAAGAAAAAACAGTTTGGTAGGTTAATAGACGAGAACAATAAACTTATTGTAGATAAAGAAGAACAGTTACAGACTTGGGCAATCTACATAAAAGATTTGTTTACGGATTATCGTCATATTTCTACGAACACTCTTGATCTGAATGGACCAAAAATATTGAAAAGTGAGGTGATAAAAGCTATAGATCAAACGAAAGATGGGAAAGCAACAGGATGCGATGAAATACCAGTCGAATTCTTAAAAGTTTTTAACGAGAACAACCTGAATGTAGTATTGGAACTGTTTAATAAGATATACGATACTGGTCAAATTCCATCGGACTGGTTGAAATCTACATTTGTGCCCCTTCCCAAGAAATATAATTCTAAGACGTGTAGTGAATATCGCCTTATAAGTTTAATGAGCCACACCCTAAGTATTTTTGCGTATTATCCATTCCAGAATACGAGCAAAATTAGAACACAGCATAAGTAAAACACAGTTCGGTAAAAGATGCGGTTTTGGAACTCGAGAACCCCTCTTTACAATACAAGTTTTGATTCAAAAATGCCTGGATCAACAGAAAGATGTTTACGTCTGTTTTATCGACTATGAGAAAGCATATCAAACATGACAAACTCATAGAACTATTACGTCTTTCAGGTCTTGACACTAAGGACATCCAGATTATAAAAAATCTATATTGGAATCAAACAGCCCACATGAAGAATGGACATATGGTGAGTGAAAACATAACCATTTCTAGAGGGGTAAGACAGGGCTGTATTCTTTCGCCACTGCTTTTCAACCTGTACACGGAACAAATATTTCTAGAGGCACTAGAAGAGTACAATGAGGGCATCAAGATTAATGGCGTACCAATAAGTAATTTTCGATATGCAGATGATACTATTATACTGGCCGATAACATCGAAGATTTACAGATGATGCTACATAGAGTTAATACAACTGGCAGCCGATTTGGACTGAAGATCAATAGAAAGAAAACTAAATTTATGGTGATCAGTAAAAAAAAATTTCAACATATCGACCTGCATATTGAAGACGAACGTATTGAAAGAGTACACCGATTTAAATATCTGGGATATACAGTAAATGACAAGTGGGACCCAGAAGTAGAGATTAAGATCCGAATTGAAATAGCAAGATCCAAATTCATCAAAATGAGAAAGCTCTTAAGCAACCGCAACCTAAGCATTAACCTCCGATGGCGCGCCACGAAATGCTACGTAACTCTCTACGCTACTTTACGGCGTAGAAGGGTGGACGTTAACAGCAGCAACTATAAAGAAGTTAGCGGCTCTAGAAATGTGGCTGTATCGACGCATACTTAGAATACCTTGGACAGACAGAGTGACCAACACAGAGGTATTAAGACAAATGGGTAAAGAGGTGGAATTGTTAACAACTGTTAAAAGGAGGAAAGCGTCATACCTGGGCCATGTGTTCCGTAATGATAAGTACAGTCTGCTACAGCTTATCGTGGAAGGCAAGATTGAAGGTAGAAGAGGTTTAGGCAGAAAGAAGAAATCCTGGCTGAGAAACTTGAGAGAATGGTTTCAAATACCAGAAGCTGCGAACATAATTCATGAGGCACAAAACAGAGAAACCTATCGTATGATGGTCGCCAACCTTCGGTAGAAGACGGCACATAAAGAAGTCGTCTAGGCATTGATTCGACCAACTTTCTAGTGTACTCTGAGGAAATTGTGTTCCAAACTCCCAAGCTTCAGTGATTTTTACTTTCAATTCACTTCTATTTTATATTGGGGCAATATTTACTTTATTTTTTATTGTCAACCACAGATTTTCAATAGCGTTCAAATCTGGTGACTGGGCTGGTGTTTTAATGACATTTCGGTAATTATAAAGCAATCGAGTACGAACCCGATATGACATGTGTGTTCGGTAATTGTTATTAATACCTAACTTTTGAGCACTAGCGGTGAGGTGCTGCCTTAGTATATCCAGGTACATGTATTGGTACATGTAGGTTCATATTCCCTTTAATAAAATGGATGTTACCTACTCCTGCAGATGAGATACACCCCCCACATCATCACTCTACCTTCACCGTGCTTTACTGTAGCTTTCATATTTTTTAATTTTAGTTTTTCATTCGGCTTTCTCCTCATTTTTCCATCTTACTTATGTAAGTGTTATCCAGTGAACTGAGGTGCTGACGAAAAACAAGGATATTGCCACCTCATCCAATCTATAAGGTACAAGTAAATTTTTACTTTGAAAAGGTTCATATTATGTTTTAGGCCAATAAAAAATGAATTTTTTTATATACACAGACTGCTTACAACTTAATATGTTTTCGAAATTACTTCAGTTAAAAATGATCTTAAAAATATGTAGTGATAAGAATGTACTTTCATTTGAATTGCCCAATACCGATCAAAGTCAAAGCAGAGCTGGCTTTGGCACTATTGGAACCCCTCAAGTTTTGAATTATTAAAAAATTGGTTAGCAGTTTTATGAGTGGTCTTACACCACAAATAATGAACTAAGTTAACCCCGTGATGGACAAACAAAAAGAGTTACTACCTCGAATATGATTAAAAAGAATAAAGAATATCGTATCATTTAGAATGACATTTTGGGGTAAAAGTACGTGAGATATGAGACATAGAGAATATCTGAAATGATAATGTGAACACTGAGACCTCTCGATCCAATACCAAACCAACGAACACCAGAATTTATTTTTAATATAAAAGATCTGTGCCCGACGAGATTCTAACTCACGACCGTCCAAGCTTTAGTTGGAAGTTAAGATTTTATACCTAATGCGCTATTGATGTTGTTTAAAAGAAACGATTGGATAATTCTGGATCATTGTTTTGTAAGAGGATCCTATATACCAATATTAACAACTCGGATTTTTCCTTCACATTTTCAAATTTTCACTTTTCCTTCGAATTTTGTTTATTGCATCTTTGTGGCAATTATTTACAATAAGAGCGATACGAAAGAGTTTATTATTGATTAGTTAATAACTCTGTTTTTGGTTGGTTAACACAATAATGTTAAATATATAAGTTGATTGTTTGATTGAAATATTTTGTTTTGTTACAGGAATTAAATGTCCAGTATGCAGTAAATTTGTGATTCCTGATGATATAGAATGTCATTTGGTGATGTGCCTAACCAAACCTCGGCTATCGTACAACGGTAAGTGACTATATTACACCCTGGAACCAAAAAGAATTCGTTTAAGATGGAATTAATACGGCCGATTAGGGTTCAAAATTTGTTTCCGTGACAATTACATTAATTTGTATTATACCTAAGGTCAATGTATTTTCGATACCATCTATAAGTTCGGGTTATCGTGGTTATCGTTGTATTGAACGCGAGATTCTAAAATATTTAACGGATTTATATACAACGGATAAAAAAAGTGGTAGAGCAGGCGGTATTGTAGATTAGTGCGAAGCTTCATACTATGTTTTCTCTATTTTTAAAATTGTGATCATATTTTTAAAATTTAATAAAGTAATTTTATTTATTTATTATTTTTTTATTTTAAGGTTTTTTGTACATTCGAAAATACATAAAACCGCTGTTAGTTAATATCGTTGTTATAGATTTTAATAAAATTGAAAAAGTTTATATGTCGTATAACGGACCCTCTCATCGCATTAATGGACTCGTCCAACTTTTTACGGCGCCTTGATAGAGAAAAAGTAACACAATGCTGGTATAGAGGCTTCGCTTTTAAAATACATAGATTAAAGGCAAGAAGCAGCATATGTCATTTGTATCTCAACTAGCAAAGTATTTTGTCTGAAATGTTAATTGAAGTGTAAATTAAATGAAGTTTACTATTTTTTCTGGGAATTAACCACAATTTTAGTTTAAAAGATGTTTATTTTGGCCTTTCCATTTTCACTTCGGATATCGTTCTCAAAATACAAATTTTTGTAAGCAAACACTTTCTGAGAACTACCAAATAATTCCACTAACATATTATAACTACGCACTACACTTTTGTACATTTGTATGTACAATATGTACAGGAAACTAATTGACTGATAAATGCCGGTATATAACTGACGGCTTACGAAAAAAAAACACGTCACTGAAAAGATATAAAGTTTCTAAAATTTTTACAGTTTAGTCATAATAAAAGTCGCATCATCGATAACTTACAGTATATAATACATGATAATATATATTGTATTATAATTTAATACATGAAAACTGTATGGAATACAAGTGAGAGATCTCTTCGCGTCTAGGGTGATGCCCAAGTATTTTGCTGATGTTGCATAAGGAACTTCATCATCATAATCATGGCTTATTCACTCCTGGTGGAGTGTGCCGTTTTTTTGGGCTCTTCTTCTCGTGCCACTCCTAGCGGAGATTGGTGTAAAGGTCGAACGGAGCTATTCCCTAGGTATTATTCCAGTTCTATATATTGTGTTAAATAGATCTAGGAGTATTTTAATAGATTCATCGTCCATAAGTTTGAGCAGTTCTACGGGAATTTCATCAGGGCCGGGGGGCTTACCACTTTTTGCTTGTTTGATTGCATATTCTATTTCTTCTCTGATTATATCAGGCCCTGTATCATCTGTATATTTGTTTGAGATTTCTTGTCTATCTTTGTCATCAAACAGTTGTGATATGTATTCTGTCCATCGGTTCATTTTTTGTTTTAAATCTGTTATAATTATACCATCTGTATCTTTGATCTGTCCTGTCTGTGTTGTTCTTCTCCTTCCTGTCATTTCTTTAATCTTTTTGTGTACATTAAAAAAGTCATATTTTCGCTCCAATTGTTCCAACTCCTGGCATTGCTCACTTAGCCATCTTTCTCTAGCTTCTCTTATTTTCTTTTTTATCAGTTTATCTGTTTCTTTGTATCTTATCGGATTATTTGTTTTGTGTACCCTTCTTTCACGCATCAACTGTAGTATTTCCTCATTCATCCATTCTTTATGTTTCCTTTCTTTCGGTGTTAAATTTTCTCTCCCTGCCAACATTACGGCATGTTTAATATTCTCCCATTTTTGGTCTATGTTATCAGTATTTCTATTCAGTTTCTCTATATTTTGTAAATTTTCTTTGATCTCTGATTTATTTGTTGCGGAGAATCAGTCCGCTGTTGTTTTTTTTTATTATTATAGCAGCGTGTGTGACTTGGCCCTGTCTACAATTTCCTCCATTCTCTCCGGTCCTTACAGCGCTCCTTCCAATTGTAGGTTCATCATTTATTCTAATTGGGAATTTTCTATTTTTTTATTTGGAGTAAAGTTATTGTGTGCAGATTTATTCTCATTTAATTTTATTCACCATTTTCTGACTCAGTTATGTATTTTATTTACTGATAGTTGCAACTTATCAGTCTCTTTTTCACTAGTGTCTCCTATCGCTAGCATAGCTGTATCATTCGCGAAGGTGGCAATAATGTTTTGTTCTAGCTCTGGAATGTCAGTATACAATAAGTACAGAAACGGACCTAAGACACTCCCTTGTGACACGCCAGCTTGGATCTCCCTTAAGTCGGTATACACTTCTTGTTTTATTCTGAAATATCTATTGTCAATGTATGATTGTAGGGTAGACTTTCTTTTCTTCTAATATTTTTTCTATTACCTATATTCGTTATTCTGTGAACTTGATTTATAGTGGAATGTTGAATTCTGAAACCAAATTGATGATTTGGTATTAGATTTTTTCTTTCTATTATTGTTTTTAATTTTTTCAATATAAGTTTTTCAAATAGTGTTGATATCAATCATATTCGTTATTCTGTGAACTGGATTTATAGTGGAATGTTAATTTCTGAAACCAAATTGATGATTTGGTATAAGATTCTTTCTTTCTATTACTGGTTTTATTCTTTTCGATAGAAGTTTTTCAAATAGTGTTGACATCATATTGTTAATATCACTCCTTCCTAGCAAGAATACTAGTAAAAGTCTGTTAATATTTTAACAATGTTTATATACAGTTGCGAAACTGCAACAAGGAGAATGTTATTTAACGAAGTGTTTCCTTAATTGACATTTGTCGAGTGACCATTTGTTTGACTAGGAACTAATGGGAACTAATTGGAACTAGGACTGTTGCTAATGATTTTACTTGGTTACTTCAAATAGAACTGTTCATTGTGGTTATGGTGAACTGTCCTTTGCTTATTGTAGTCCTAACAAGTTTTGAGCAGTTTTAATCAGGCAGTTGTCTGCGTAACGATTTCATGAATACTTATTACCACTGCAAATACTTCAGCCTGGAACTCTGTCAACTATTGTCCCAAACATTAGTATTCGCTGAATTTTTTTAACTGTCCAAGGTCCCCTGATTTAGTTGAATGAACGGTTTTTGACCCATGGTGAATCTGACGTCAATTTTATTTTTCCCTCTTTTTATATTACAATGTCACCTCGGGGTAAATAATAAGGGTCTAAATCACCTTCTGTACCACCGTGTGCTCTGTAGAGGGCTTCGAGAATGTCTACGAAAGCACCTCTACCCAAGTCTATTTACAGGGTATAGACTTGTGAATATTTTAATCTGATGAGCTCGTCTTGAAAAAGACGAGCTATTTCTTACATGACATACGAAGTTGTCGAAATAGGCATCAGGTTCTCAGCTTCGGTGACTTGCCTTGAAAAAGGCAAGTTATTTCTTACACGACTAAATAGTCGAAATAAAACAGCAAGTTTAAAGTTGCTCTTAAAATAAATACTCAGCCACAGAGTATGGAAAGCTAAAAAAAAGGAAGCAGAGCCCCGAGAGCACTAAGCTCTCGGAGAGCCCGTGAAGGACTGACTTGATTGACCTGAAAATCGCTTATTTTTATACTTTCCGAAGTAGCGATTAGGGATTTCCAGGTCAGGGAGGGGCCAACGTGAAAAATAAGGGGCGGGGCGATGCGTCTCGAACGTGAACTAGCCGCGTCCGAGAACAGCCCCCCTTCTCTGGAGGCTCTGTGGCTGGAAAAAAATTTATTGGAAATCAAAAAATCTTACAAGTATACAGAGTTAAGAATAATGTATGAAATATATATGAAAATGTAAATCAAATTTAAAAAAAAATTGTCTTTGAGCCAACTCACTACACAGCACTAATAGGGAGGTCGGCGGTGTTGACGGCATCTCCGGCTCCTACAGGTCCATTCTCGATCGGTTGTACCAACTTCTTCGACGGGTTCGTCTTCTTCGCGGTCGTCCGGATCCCATCTGCCATATCCGACGGGGTTTCGTAGGGTACCAGTGTGCCGAAGCCTACGTGGTCGTCCAACCACTTTCGGTAGGGGGGCGATGACTGGGTCTACTCCGGGACTTTCATCGGCATCTGGGGCTTCTAACTTCGAAGAAGACTGGCTCGTCCAAGGGGCCTGCACGTCGAAGGCATCCGGTCTGCAGAAGGCCTCGATGTCGGAGTGTTAGCTAACACTCCGTGGTTCTCCCCATTCTTCTCTTGACTTCAACCCATGTTGAAGTCAATGGTGTGCTGCCTTCTGTTGCGAGTTGAGCTGGGTCGTGGGATCGGAATAGTCCATTTTGTTGGGCGCCATGTCACCTCGGGGTAAATAATAAGGGTCTAAATCACCTTCTGTACCACCGTGTGCTCTGTAGAGGGCTTCGAGAATGTCTACGAAAGCACCTCTACCCAAGTCTATTTACAGGGTATAGACTTGTGAATATTTTAATCTGATGAGCTCGTCTTGAAAAAGACGAGCTATTTCTTACATGACATACGAAGTTGTCGAAATAGGCATCAGGTTCTCAGCTTCGGTGACTTGCCTTGAAAAAGGCAAGTTATTTCTTACACGACTAAATAGTCGAAATAAAACAGCAAGTTTAAAGTTAAATAAATACTCAGCCACAGAGTATGGAAAGCTAAAAAAAAAGGAAGCAGAGCCCCGAGAGCACTAAGCTCTCGGAGAGCCCGTGAAGGACTGACTTGATTGACCTGAAAATCGCCTATTTTTATACTTTCCGAAGTAGCGATTAGGGATTTCCAGGTCAGGGAGGGGCCAACGGGAAAAATAAGGGGCGGGGCGATGCGTCTCGAACGTGAACTAGCCGCGTCCGAGAACAACAACATGGATAATAAGCCAGGTTGACATGTATCGAGTAACTGGCACTATTATAGTCTTACTGGCATGCCTGTGCTTGACGAAGACAGCACTGGACTGGCACGTTTATACGTATTCC